TTCATCTCCATCTGCTGCACATCTTTCCAGGGAGACAGATCTGGACTTACTGGCAGCTAAAAGCTTTATCTTCCTGCTTTGGTGAGTCAGATGTAGAAATGCTGCCAAGGCCCGGCAAACAGAAGGTCACACTCTTCTTTATCGGCTGCGCTCGTACTTCTTGCTCCTTTGGCGGTTTGCGCAGCGCCTGCTCTTTCCATCTAACGGCACAGCGCGTCACGATTCTCTGCAGGCGCTGAGATCTCTGCAGGACACAGGCGAACAGATGAAGTCACGCTCACGTCTGGTCTGCAAATACCCAGCAAACACCCACCTGTTCTTGGCTGAGCTCCGTCAGACTAGCTGTGAGGTCGTTCATGTGCGCAGCATAGGTGAGGATGCACGTCACACCCTCCTTCAGCAACTGGTCCCTGTACACCTGTGCGTTTTTGCCTGCATGCTCCCGCTCGCTGCGCTGTTCTGTGACCCAGAGCCTCCATCCCTGCAACACCTGAGACAGTGACGCAAATTTATTACATAGATTTATTTATTTATTTTTGTTCATTGAAAACATCTAGGCTCGATGCCAAAGTTTGAGGGCAAAGATAAAATCATTTGTTATTTTCTTTTCAGGGATTTACATCCGGATCTCTTTACACAGCCTATAAAATAAAAATATTTTTAGCATCATATATATATCAGTGTGGTGCGTTCAGCTCCCACTTTTATCTAAAAACCTGTAAATTAACATAGATGCATGGATGTGTTCTCTGAAGGCAGGGTTAAAGCTTAAAACTCCATATCAAGCTCAAAGGGTGTGAATATTTTTTTTCTAAGCACAGGAAGTTTCTATATAAGATCAGAATGTGGAAGCAGGTTTTGCCTTGGCCTGAAGGGTGAGGGACCAGTGCCAGAGCGCTTGTTCCGTCTGGTTATTCTCCCTTCGTCTGTGCTGCAGCTGTTCACAAGAAAGAGAGAAGAACAAACTAGTCACGGCCTTAGAGAGAGCGTTAAATCAAAGCATGTACAGTAGAGTAAAAACACCTGGGAACCTCAGATTTTCCACCAACAGGTTTCGTACATATATCCAAAGGTCACCTCTAAAGCACCTTTTTTTCAGGTTATTTCCTAGTTATTTAATAGCAACCAAAAAAAAAAAAACAACAAACCTTTGTCTTCCACTGTTCAAAGAACTTCTGGTACATCTTTAACTTCAGCAACAATAGTCCTTGTCTTTTCATCACCTTATGGGGTTATAACAATATTTGGAATTTTTATAGAGAAGCATTAAATCAGCTTTTTGTGACACGTGTGTGTGGTAATAAATCTACAACCTTATTTCTCTGGTGCTGGCAGTGATGCGCGCTCCATGCATGTAGGGTTTTAGAGAGAAGTTTGGAGCTGTGATGCCTTTTAGCTTTTTCCAGTTTCATCCTTTGCTGCCGCTCCTCTGTGGTTCGTTTCCTCCACTGTCTGAAAACCAACAGCAGCTGCGCTAAACATGGGGGAAAAAGACAAAGATCATTTTTAAAAAATAATCAATGACTTTTTTTGCATCTTTTTAACTGTTCAAGTGAATTAAACATTCACCATAATAAAGTACTCAGCATTTCAGATCAAATGATAATAAAATAGCTTTACTATGAATAATAATAATTTAAAAAAAATAATCTTGTAAGGAAGCAATGTTTTCCTGGTTATTAATCCAAAGGTTAACACATTTGCCATCAAGCTCGGGAGGTATTTCAGAAACATGTTTAGTTTGGTTAGCAATAGGAGGAAAAGTCACTGAAAAGTTCAGGTTGTATCACTTACGTATCTAAAGAGGAAAGCAAAAAAACTGTTTAATAACAGATCAATGCCCTGTGCTATACCCAACATTTTTCATCATGTGAAGATTTTAATAAATAAAAATTGAAAACTGAATAATCTTATCCTAATTGAAAAAATATCTCCTTTAATGCACTGCCCCAGCTAGAGCAGACTAAATTGATATATTTTTTTTAACCATGTTGTGATCTTATTTGGATTTTCCTTTGAAATAACCACAAGCAACAAATATGCATTACAGATTTGCATTTTTCTAGGCAAGGTCTTAGTGAAACATAAAAGTAACAGTTTCTTTATTATTTGGGGGATTATTATGCAAGAGAATAAATCACCATCAGATATGTGCTGCTAACAAACAGTGTTTATGGAGTTCCTGACCTTAAATGCTCTCTTTCCCAGAGTATATTGTTGCAGGACTTTACAACTATGTGAAAAAGTGTTTACTTGGAGCTCATCTGCATGCTAGCTGCAATTCTCTCCTCCATCTCTTTCTGGTGGTGGAGCCACTTTAAGTGTATTAGCTACTGAATGGACGGGACTCTACTCTTTACTAAATGTAAAGTGACCAAAAACTGAGCAC